AGCTTTAATAAGTTGTACTTACGCACAATCTACTTGCAATATTGAGTTTTAAGTAATATGCATTAATAAACAGTAGTTTACGAATAAAAAATGGCATTTAAAAGTTTTGTCAAATGCTTTATAATATATATATATATATATATATATATATAATATGCGTATGTGTGTGTGTCTGAGGAGAGGGGCAGAGAGAAAGAGATGGAGATAAAATATGTGTTTGGGAGATGAGGGAGTGCTCATCGTCCAAGCTTTGATCAATGAACTTGCTTAGCGTTTAAAACTCGATAGTTGGCGGGATAATCGCGATAGATGGCGAGGCATCCGTGATAGTTGACGGGACATCCGCGATAGTTCTAACATTTGAGATCATGACTGAATTTATTAACATTTTATTTATGGCATGTTTAAAAACAAGGGAAATCACTCACTAAATCTTTCGGTCTACCCCTCAATCGTTTGTAAAATATATTACAGATCAGCTCAGGTTGAAAGATAAAGGCAAAGGAAAGGCGTAACTGGCTGTTGAACTAGTTTTTGTTAGATCAGTTCTTGTATTCAGACTTTTTGCTGATATATGTGGATATAATTGATCTGTTTGTATATATTAAAACCTATTATATGTTTATGACATGTATTTTGGAATTTGGTTTTGTTGGGCTGTTACAGTTGTTTGTGTCTTGGCTTCACGGAAATAATTGATGGTCACTCAGAGGGGTGATCGATATCGAGAGAGGGGAGAAGAGGGAGGGATGGTCGGGATTGAGACAGGGGAAACACTGAGGATATGTTTATGTATGTGTTTTTGCATTACAAAATTCTTAAATTGCTCCTTCTGCTATTTAAATTAAACAGTCTGATAGATATAAAGTTTTGTTTCGACACTCGGTTCCTGCACTGTGATATAAAACTTCATGGAGACAACAAGGACTCCAAAGATTCGAGTAAGTCACGCATTCGAGCAACAGCCTTTTCCTTTTCTTTGCTATGTAAATAGAAGGCCGAAGGAAGAAATGGAAGCCGATGGTTGTGTATAAATGTGTATGTATGTGTTGCTCCGAGAATAACAAGTAATCGTTCTAATCACCTTCGACCTGAAGAATCGCTTGCCAAAGATCAAGAGTACATAGAGAAGCAGACGGACTTGTGAACCCACCCCAACAAAGACCAAACTAATCCCAGGACAACCACCTGTTTTGCGGATAGCCCAGAGTCACCGCATTTGAACCTCCGTGGCCACAAAGGGATTTTCATTTCTCCTTGGATTCAAACCTGAGACCTCCAGGCACTTTTGACCTTTGGAATACAAGCTCAAACCAATCAGACACCACCTTTGCGGTTTTCTTTTATCACAGCTATGATTCTATGACCATGAATTCCTCCATGTACAAGTAGTAAATAACTTAATATATTATAAAAACTTGAGTTAATTTGTAAAAATGAGTTCTATAAAAGGTCATTTGGTCAAATATCCTCTAAATTCATGCAGACAAGATGAGCAAGAAAAACAGTCTCACTTTTGGCTTTAAAGATTCAAGCTTGATATTCAAAGATTAACTACACATCAAGATACTAAACTTGTCGAAACGCGAAAAAGAACTACGACTCTATCCCATATCATTGCGTGCAACCTTCAGTCCTAACATCCTCGAGCTTTGACCCCCGTCCGGTGGTCACATTTTTGGCCATAATCCAAACGGTAGATCTATGAATAGCTCGATGGCCGGAACGATTTTAATTAAAAGTTTCGATAATACCCATGGGTTTTTCCTATACTGCAATACAACATTATTTTCAACAAAGTACAAGTTGTTCAAGCTACCAACTTTATATATATATAGATAGACAGAGAGAGGGCTAACCGGTTCGGTTTTCTTGAACTCAGAGGGTCAGGACAAAGGGTGGTGCATCCCTTCGTGGTCCAGCCACGGTTCGATAGACGTAAACTTTATGAGCCTGGCTATCTTCACTATCTTCATCTTTCATCACTTCAACATTCAACCTAGGCATCTCTTTAGCCAAGACCCTACACCCATTCATGGTCAAATTACAAGCAGACATCCAAAGAGACCTCATTGATTCATATTTGGTCAAACCCGAAAGCAACGCAGCGTTTCCAAACGGGCAGTCTCGTATTTCAAGTTTCCTCAGTTTTGGACAGCCTCCAAGCACATACTTCAAACCCAGATCACTACTTCCTGCAAAAGCAACAGAAAGKGTTTCYARGTTTTTWGCGTATTTMCCGATATACTCGAAKGTYYTRTCRGTTAARAGGCCGGAAACCGCRAGSCGTTGAAGCTTGGTRCARGTYYTGACAAYYGCACCAAARGCYTCGTCCATKGGYTCSTTGGTCARGTAATCTGGTTGACCRGGRTTCATTATGCAGAGGCGGAAGTGGGTGAAACCCGGGCAGTTCTGCACAATGGTGGCTACAGCTGCGTTTGTCATTTGGTGGCAAAAGTAGAGTACGTAATGCAGTTTTGGGCAGCCACGAGAGACTGACAAGAAACCGGATTCAGTTACACCTGTGACATCCAGGTCATGAAAGGGGTCAGCTGGGAAGACTCTCAATTCTTCAAGCAATGGGCAGCAGGATCCAACAGCTTCTAAACCCCTATCCCCTACAGTATCAAGAACCTGTAGATGAACAAAAAAGTTTAATGAGTTTATCCAACTGCATAATGTGTGACTCAGGCTTAATTTTATGATTCTACAAAACCGACAATACTTTTATCTCAAAACAAGTTAAGGTTTTCAATTTACAAAACCAAACGTACAAAGTATGTCCCACTCAGAAGTACTACGGTCTGGGACAGAGGTGGACCCTATTGGGGGCAAACGGTGGCCGGTGCTACCACTTCATGGTTCCATCCTAGTTGAAAAAAATATTATATTTCTAAGGGTGCCATCATAATGTTTCGTTGTGTGCCCTTATATTTCTTAAAACTAAACTTGCAACAGAAGTTTGTGATGGCTGGGTTGGTCTAAGGTGGAAGATTAAAGTATTTTGTTTGAAAGGGCGTGGATTCGATCCTAGTTTTAGCAACTTTTTTGTTTTTCAGCTTTTAATTTTGGGTTTCTATAGCTTCTTTTTTTCTAAATTTGGAGGAAAGCAGCTGTGGAAGGATCAAACCCATGACCCTTCCTTGCTAATGCAAAATTGCAAACAAACCAACAACACATCTATTACGAATTTGTGAAAATTTTCTAGAAGTTTCATTCTTATGGTCAAATGGTGTCACTGCTTGAAAAAATTTCTGGGCCACCTCTCGTCGGGGTAGGATATATGTGAACTTTACCTGTATCCAAGAGGCAGAAAGACCGTTGCCATGGAGATCTCGACTCACGAAAAAGTTTAGCTACAATTTTGAAAATTTGAAGTGCTTGAGATTGGCGAAGTACGAGGAGTTTTGGAAAAGTAGAACAAGTATGCGTTTCAGGGAAGGAGAAAAAGGGTTAACACAATTTAATACCGTGAGAGCATGGCAAAAGGCATAGAAGAATGTAGAGATAATTAGGGTTTCAATATGAGAAGTCCAACTAGGCTTATTGGATCTACCATTTCTGTATCATAACTGCTAAAGTTACACTTCATGTATTCTCTTTTACTTCAGCTTAATCTAGAATCTTTGGATTCAAAAGTCATCACATTGGTCTAATAAGTTATGAATTGAAAATCAGATAAAAATGGTAAGTGGATTTTAGTTGATAGTCCTGAACCATGGTCAACTATATCAAATTCAAACAACCATGTCACGGCCACAACACATAGATCCTATATCCGATATATCATCATGCTCCTAACTCTAACGATTAACACATAAAGTTGCCAACCAAATATAAAGATCATCATGTTCATTGTACTCCCTTCAATTTGTATGTTATTGCTTACTCTTAACCAGCTTTCAAAACTTCATCATATTTGACTTTTCTCTCTTCATCACACTTTTCACAAACCGAGAGTCTTCATAGAAGCAGCTCGCTCTACTCTTTGGGGAAGAGGTCAAGTCTGCTTACATCTTACCCTCCCCAAACCCCACTTCCAGGCGGGATATACAAGGTTCATTTGGTTTGGTTTATCATTCTCTCTTCAATGTTTTTTCTTACAAAGTAATTGGTTACATTTATCAGATGCAAATGCATAAAGAGATTAGGCATCTCTCTGCAGGAGAAGTTGAAGATTCAAGACCAGACTTGTAGAATAAAGACACACACAAGATGACTCTCTTGATGACTTTCAGATATGACTTCTACTAAACACTGACGTACATTGGCATAGTATGAAGAATGTTTTTCTCATGGCTCCTTAGATGAATATGTCCACATGTTTCTAATCCCTCGTTAAAATAGCTAATTTCAGTCTGGTTGCAAATTGTTCTCGTCACTTCATGGTGTAAAGCAAGGACCCATACAACGGTTTTGCATAGTGTTCTGGATTATTCTTTGTGTACCTTACATCAACAGGTTCATTACACTCAAGTTTTGACACATGTGAGGATATGTTGATTCAAGGAACTAATAAAGAACTTATTTCTCACTTTAAGGAAATTATTGGCAAGAGAATGCCATGTTAAGTACTAATGTACTATCCGGATATGGAAATCCTACAAAGGAACTTTATTTCCATTTGAAGCAATAGATGTATATTTTGGACATGATAAAAAGTTTGTCAGTTGTTGGCAAAAGACAATTGTGCGGTTTGTTTTGTGATCTTTAAATAATGAAAGAAAGCATATTTCTCCTTTTCTTTACCCCTGCAAAAATTTGACACCACTGTTGTGGCTCCCTGTTAAACTACACAATATAAAAAATAGTTTTTACCTGATCAGAGCCTACATCCTAAACATCGAATCCAACTCAACACACATAAACCACCTTAAAGCTATCATGGTACAAACCCCAAAATGATCAAGAAATTCCTCCGATGACATAAGTACTAGAATGAGACAAGCAAAAAGATAAGATTCTATTTACATGCCTAGAACCTAATTTCATGGTGCAATTACTGGTTCTATGACCATGATTTAAGAGCCAAAACAAGATCACATATAAATAGGATAACTACAAGTACAAAACTATATTGGATTATTGGCTAGTATTTAACAAGGCATCATTCATGAAGATCTTGATCACGAGGTCCAGGGCAACTGCACCAAATGTTTTTTATGGGTCAAAGTTCTACTCCACCCTACAAGCCTCTTTGCGGTATGTCCTATTATGAATTTGTTAATTTTAGTTTTAGCACTGTATTTATGCTGTAGTAATTTGTGGAAGGCTAACTTTTGGAGATCTGTATCTGTATATAGAAGTGTGGAGGCTCTCTTTTCCAATCACACCTGTCATAACGGATTTCTCTTATGTGTTATAGATCAACCACACTCACACAGGCATACATGAGGCAAAATCAGGATTGGAACAATTTAGGCAGAGATATACTAGCATCTTACAAACTTATTTAAGAATCTAAGCACTGCAAAAAGATTGTGAGCCTACTATTCATGTCATGATTGGTCCGTTCGTAACAATAATACGATGCAAAAAAGATTTATGATGATAAAAATAGGAAAATTTATTTGTTTGGCCGCTTAGCATCGCGTAAAGAAACTCTTGCCACCATACTACTTTTTTTGTTGATTTGGCTAGTAGAACTCACCTCATCTTCAAATTATTTGTTCTCCACTGGTCCTACTTTCGCCAAATAGAAGTGATTTGACTAGGTCCACGTAACATTGACACTCATTAACAAATGCGTCACAAAATGTTAGTTATTGGCCAGCTAGTGGGGAATAAATGATTGGAAGATAAGGTACCAAGGTAAAATCCAAATAAATAAATTTAGTTTAATATCAGACCTGCTTAATATACTATACCAATCAAATACTATTTCTCGTAGAAGTAGCAGAAGAAGTCTAGAATCCTTTTTTGTTTAAACCACTTGACAAATCCCTCACGCTAGAACGCATAACCTAAGGTTTATCTTGTAAGACCTACATTTTTTTATGCTAAGATAGCTGTCCATGTTGCAAAAGCCTCAATGGAGGTTCTACCACTATCACTCAATTCCAGCAAAAATTACATAATTCTGTCAGGTTTTGCCATTTTAGAAGTACCGAATAATGCAGTAAATTTGGGAAAAGACAGCAACACAGAAACAGCTGAGTTTATCAGGGCCCAGGGGGATGTGGTGGAATATCCCATCTGCCCTGGGTTCAATTTCATGCGTCCACAACAATTGTGGCCACTGAGTTTATCAAGGCTGATGTCTTACAGTCGCAATTTGCCGGGATTAGTCTCGGCATAGCCCAGGACACCTTTCCAAAAAAAACAGAGAAACAGCTGCATATCCTATTTAGATATTTAATTTTGAAAATGTAAGCTCATGGAGAAGCTACTTACCCAGAGGCGTTGTAGACTTTTGCAGTGAATGAGAAGCTTTGCTAGCTCAACGCTGTGTAAAGTTGCATAACTGAGGTTTAAGAAAGTCAGACTAGAGCAGGCAGGGTAGATAACCGGTAGATAAAGTGAACTAGTGTCCCACAAACCCGAGAGAGTAAGTAGATTTTTACAGTTGCTGAAAGTACTTTCAAGGTCATTGACCGGACGGGTAACAGGTTCTTGCATGAAGGTTCCAGTTCCAAGTTCAGTCAATTGTGAGGCCCGCAAAAGAAGCTTTTGCAATTGATCTAAAGTTACATTCCGGTTAACTTTCAAAACCCTTAATGATTTGCACCTACTAACAAGCTTCTCAAGGGCATCAAAGCTGACTTCACTGTTTAAGCTGGCAAAATTGAGCACTTCTAACGAGGTTAAGCTTTCAGGGAAGCAACTTAACCAATCCCCACCAAGATCATCAATCCCATTCTCTTGTATGTCTAGCTCCGTTAAATTCCTACAAAAAAACCAATATCCAGCAGAATTAAGAGAAAGCTATAGTTGCTATTTTTGTTGTGAAGGTTCTCCAGCATAAGTCAGCCAAATCATAGGAAAATGCAGTCACTTTTGTTGTGAAAATTTCTTACTTTAGTAATAATAAGTGATGCACATGTGAGCCTACATGGCCTTCAAATGATAACACACAGTATTTGATTTAGGGCCTTACTTCTAAAGAAACTATGAAGTAGAGGGCACATAATTCAAGCAACTGTTGCAGAAGTTGATTAATTTCAAGCAGATGAAAAGGCAAGTCACAAAATCACATGCAATCTTGGAAGATAAGCGGAATGGATATAAACTTCAATTAACAGTAGATGCTAGATCCAGAAAATCTTAATTAGCTATACCCAAGTGAGACATGCAACAATAGGAAGTATCAAGAACAATGCTAAGTGAAGGACAACATTTCAAATGCTTCAATAATGCCCCCAGTTTTAGTTTAAAGGTACATTTATAGATCTCAACTTCAAGTGCAACTAGAACATGCACCAAACAAGAACATAATAATTGAGCTTAGATGGAAAAACAGTTTGCATGAAAAAAATTACAAGGCAAAGTTATTGTTTCCATGCTTGTTGAGATGCACATAAAATTGTCTCTTTTTGGTTCCGTTTGCTCCATGCAAACTAATCTAAAGTTAACCAAAACTTACGATTTACGAATCCAGATCACTTCAAGGGAAATACAGTTTTTCCTGTTTTGAATTTTAATACAGGTAATAAGTTGCCCAACAACGTTCAAACATCTAAGAAGTTGATTAAAAATCACCACTACTATTAGAAGGAAGACAGAATGTTATGGGACTTATAGCTGGTGAAAAACAATTTGCATGAGAATCTTTAAAGCAAAATTGTTGTTTTCACATTTTCTTAGATGCATGTAGAAACGCGTCACTCTTTTGTTCCTTTTCTGTCATGTAAAAGCATGTAAAGCTCAAAACAGAAACTAACATATCCATATGGATTAATAAAGAGTTTTTGTCCTTTTTCCTGTTCTGATGCATGTAATAAGATGACTTCAACTATTATTCGACAAACTCGCATGTTTTTACGGTAAAGAACAATAAAACTGAACAGAACTTCAATTAACAATAGATCTCATGTCCTTGAAACCATAATTAGTTGCCCAAATGATAATTACGAACTATACAAAAGGATCAAGAACAACATGGCAGCTAATATAGCAACTGCTTAGCTAAAACCACCAGTTATGGTTTAAAGAGAGTACATATTTTAGCTCCAAATGATACTCAGAAAATTGCACCTAAAAAAGACTAGTAATTGGGGCTTCATGAAAAAAAGGGTGTCGGCGGTTTACGGTTTACAGTTTACAGGGAAATTTTGTTGATTTCATGTTTCTTTGGATCCCCATAAAAATGTCTCATGCTTCTGTTACTTCAGCTCAATGTAAAGCAGTAAGCAAAAGATCGAAAACTCAACAGAAACTTCCATATCCAGATCAATCAAAGAAAAGTATGCATGTAATTATTACATGCCTAAAAAACCAAATTACAAAAACTCCTTTTCCTTTCAATTAAGAAGAGAATATGGATGCTCCAAATGAAAACACTGTTTCTAACAAGCTAATATTAAGTATTAACCATATTGCTTTGTTGGAATGAAGGCAGACGAAGAAGACCTTGAGCAAATTATAACAAGCTTGTATAATCAGATCAAATGCAAGTTTCATGGCCCAACTGTGAAATACAAAGATATTCCAGTAGAGATGACATCAAGAACATGTCATCCATTAATTATCAAAGACAGGTCATGTGTCACATCAAGAAAGCAACCAGGAAAAGGCAAAGAAAAATTAAGCCATAAAGTACTACCACTTCATTTCCACTAAAAGCTCTGTTCCCAGTGCCCCCAAAATAAAACAAAGCAAAATACAAATAAATTTTTTCAAGAGATAGAGAGAATGAAAGAGAAGCATGCTCCCAATGTATTTTTAGGCACAAAGCATACCCCACGTTCTAGAGGCACCCACCCATTAATTTTATCGGCCAGATCAGACGCAAATATGTGATCTTTTTCAACCCAAATCATGCAAAATCTGCTTTTTTCCCTTTGATCCCTGTTCATCAAACATCATATTCTACTGTTTATTCCGATTGATGACAAAGAAACACTGTTATCAAACGAGACATTTCCGTTAATAACTTATTTCTAAGATTGACTTCAGAAAACTTTATTGAGTAATACCTAAAAACTCAATCCAGATTCCCACAATTTTCAACAATTACCACGAAATTAAGAGCAAGAAACTTAACAAAGTTTGTAATCCAAATTAGCTTCAATTGATCTAATCACATCAGAGTCAAACCCAAGATTCAATTGATCTGATGTCATTGCTCTTAAAGAAAAGTAAACGAACCCCATTTTGACACATTAATATCAACTGAGCCTACATATGTTCAAAAATTCTTGATTTGCCAACCTCATATCGATCACCTTACATTACAAAGTGACTGATACACCTTGAAGAACTTTTCTACCCTAACATTTAGAAGGAAGAAGAAAATCTTACCTGCAATGAGAGGCAACGGCTTTCAACCCATCAGTACTAAACCCATCACAACTCAATAGCGATAAAGCTTTAAAATCAGGAAAGTTCTTCGCCAGAAACTCCAAACTCTCGTCACTAACCGCCATTCTCTTCAGTCTCAGCTCCTCCAGGAAGGGATACGCCTTCGCGAGAACACTCAGCCATGGATAGACATCAGCTCCCCAATCCTCCGGTACCAAATTGAAATCCGAAAACCTTGGTTTCCCCTTTAAGGTGATGCTCCGAATTTTCGGGAACCTCCCGGCAACAATCTCCGGCGATACCGAGTAGCAATTCCCGATAAACACATGACGCCTGCTCCACCGCTCAGCGTTGTACCAATCTTTACAGACCAGAGACACCGAACTGCGGTCTTTGTGGGAGTTTATTAGCGAGAGCACCGGTTCTAAGACCTCGTCCGGGAACGGGCACACCCGAGTTAATTCCGGTGATACAACATCAGGATCAACACCAGGATCAACCGAATCGATTCGGTCAACTGTCTTGGTTCTCTTCTGATATAGATCCATACTTCGCGACAGAAACTTCAATCAATCAAAGAACTCATTCCAGTACAAGATTCAGAGCTGAAATCTTCATTTTACAGAATTTGATCCCACCAAAATCCAGCGAAACTTCATCACCAAGATTTCTTCTCCTAGGCTTAAATTGAAAGCAAAAGAAAAACTCAAAAACGAGAAATCTGGCACAAATTTATCGAGATTTGCAGTTGAAGAACTCTAGATTCAGTGAAATTATTAGAGGGAAAAGAGAATTAAAGCAAGTATACGTACATATGGGGGGGCTGAGGAGATTGGATTTACATGATGAAAGAACCCAATAATGGAGCTCTGTCTTTCTCTCTCTAAAACCAGAGCCAAGAAGCCAACAGCTAGCTTTACTGAGGTGAGAGAGAAATATGAAACTAGTTACACTATAAGCCCTTTAACTATCTAAACTTTCACAATTTTAACCTCAAACTTTTGCCTTTCTACATAAATTATCCATTTATTACATTTGTTACTAAATTGTAAATACATCATGTCTTAACCACAAGAGTGGTATCTGATTGGTTTGAGTTTGAATCCAAAAGTATCAGAAGGTCTCAAGTTCAAATCTAATGAGGAATAAAAATCTTCTTGTGATCACGGAGGTTCAAATGCGGTGACTCCGGGCTATCTACAAAGCAGGTAGTCGCTCTGGGATTAGTCGGCTCGCATAGCGGGTTAGATATCAAGGTTAATCAAAAATAAAAATACATCATGTCTTAACCACAAAATTGGTGTCTGATTGGTTTGAGCTTGACTCCAAAGGTCAAAAGTATCATGAGGTCTCAAATTCAAATCCAAGGAGAAATAAAAATATCATTGTGGTTACAGAGGTTCAAATGCGGTGACTCCAGGTTATCTGCAAAGCAGGTGGTCGTTCTGAGATTAGTCGGCTCGCATAGCGGGGTTGAATATCCAGGCTAATAAAAAAAATACATCATGTCTTAAAAACTACAATATTTGATTTGATATATATTTCAATAACTTCTGACTGATGATTAAAAGAAAACAACACTTGTTTCTTCAACAGGTGGGCATGAAAGGGAAGTGTCACGTAATTTTATCCATTCACAACATATATTCTTCCCACGAAAATAAAAAATGAATACAAAGAATACTGATGCATCATGGATTCAAACGTACTCGGCATTATATGCGATCTCAACCCTTAGAGGGAACGCACAACATCATCTGACTGACGTTTCCTTCATTCGGCAATAGAAAAACAAAAGGAGAAAAAAAATACGGAAATTGGTATGAAGATGCACATGGCGAGGAATAATTCGTTGCATAATAGCATTCTGAAATTAAAAAAAAGGTGCACAACTGTAAGAAAACGGTAAAGTTATTGCATTTGTCGATTACAGTCCAAGTTCTCTTATCGTCTTTCCTTTTCTAGAAACATTCCTAAATAGGTTTTCTTGTTATTTAAACAAACCCTCATCATCATATACGGGATTCTATTACCTTTATTGTTTATTTACATCAAGAAAACATACGGAAATATTTGTTTTAGAATGTTGTACAAAAACAAGGGCCCACATTAGTGCACGTATATTCGATACATAAATTCAAACATGTAATCGCATTGAGGAAAGTATCGTAAAAGAGTCAAAAAACAGTAGCAACTATAGTACATAGTAAACATGGTCGTTCATCACCATGGTTTTACTTAACTTGTTATGGCCTTGTTATGGCGGGTTATCGCATCAAGGCTTGGGTTTGTCGACACGTTAACCCTCATGACTCCACTCTAAGGCTTGATTTGCACTGTAACTCGTTATGGCACGTTATGACGCCTTATTTGTAAGGTGTGGGGCTACTTTGATGTGTAGTTTAAGCGATAAATAATAATTATGTATGAAAAAAGTAGTATGTAGAGATTCAAGAGATTTAATCCCGATTTTGCACTCTTAGCATCATTTTCTTACTTTGTCTGACACGTCAAACATCTTCCTAAACCAGGATGAGTGTTGGTAGAGTTGGCAAGCCGAAATTTGTTGGTTAAGTTTGCACTCTAAAAATCGGTTTGCTAGAAGTAGTATTTGTCAGGCTACTTTTGACTTTATCTTATAATGAGCTTCATTCAGCTAGATGACTAACCAATCCGCTTTGGTGACAATTTTGGCTTCACTTCGTCTAATCTTCGATGTCGTTGAAGACTTTTTGCTCTTGGATCAACACAGATACTAATAAGACTTTTACAAAGAGAAAAGTCTTATTCTATTTTCCTCTCCAAAATATAAGATATATTTTAGATTACAACAAACTTGATTTATGAAATACTAGAAATATGAACCGGATGGTAACTGAACTTTCCAAACCGGATTTAAGACATGTCCTTATAAGAATTTTGAACGGTAAATCCGGTTGTTACATCTGGATATTGAATCTGGATATTTAAGTCCTTTTAGCAAGTCCACATTTCAATTCCGGTTTTAATGATTCTGAATGATGACTTCAGAATGAAGAACAATTTAGACATAGGGGTAACTCTGAATTGTTTTGTTTCTTGAAACAGTACTTTAAGAATATTTCTAAGGTATGGATCAGATGTATTTATGCTATTATCAAATCAAACGGTTGAGACCAACAGTTACAAATTATTATAGAAATTCAAAGTTATTGATTGCTATTGTGTGGTAAGTTCATTTTTGTATTAAAAGAAGAGGCAATTATTTGATACTAAATTAGAGACGCATGAGACATTTTGCACAATTTTGGGCCAAATTGCCCGCACAACACTCGGTCCTCTCATGTGTATTATCACCTATGATTAGGGTGTTCTCACATTTTCGTAAAATGATAAAATGTTCTCATTAGATCCCTCACTACATATGTGTGTGTGTGTATATATATATAGAGGTTGGTTCAAATACTAACCAAAACTATTGTGCAAACTATGCTAACCAATATCAACCAATCATGTTCCATCTTTTAGTTAGGTTCAAATGTAACTCACATATTAATTGTAAGGGTATTTAGGTAATTTATCATTCTTATGTAACTCCCAAATATTTTAATTGGGAGTTACAAATCTTAAAATATCACTAATTGATCTTCATGTAATAATGACATTAAGTTTCACATGTGTTCATCTTACTGAATTTTACATTTATTCTTCCTATAATGGTTTTGATATTGTAAATTTGAAAAAAGTCCCTTTTGTAAAGATTCCGTTATAGTCCGAGTAATATGGATAATCATAGAGTAAAACGGATCGACGACAATGAGCATGAAAAAGCTAAAAGCGTCTACGAATACATTCGGAATTCGAATTCCGAAAGTGAAGAAAATAATCAATAAGTGTCCCAATATRAACATACGATATCTATGAACACGCTAATGTGAACACGCCTACATTAAAGATTTGAGTTCGGGATGACAAACAATATACATTCTTCACTAAGTTTTGAATTTCAGTAAATCCACATCCTTGTTGCTCTTTTTAATTATTAACTTTGTCTAATAATAGTTTTAGTTTTGAAGACTAACTACATAGGGGCTGTTCATTATGTTCATTAAAGATTTGACTTCRGGATGACAAACAATATACATTCTTCACTAAGTTTTCAATTTCAGTAAATTCACATCTTTGTTGCTCTTTTTAATTATCTATGTGTAATAATAGTTTTAGTTTTGTTACTGTTTTATGTCATATAGCACAAATCATATCATGCTTATATAGGG